CTTATCAGCGTAAGCAGCTTTGGCTGTAATGTTGACAAGAGGCTGGGCACTGTCTACAGACTAAAGGAAAGGAATATGTGAGAGAGTGTAAATATTTAAAAATAAAACCCTTTTGGATATTTTCTGCGAAAATACAGACAGCTTGCTTGATTGATATCCTTTGTGTCTCAAATCAAACATTGTCAGTAGCGCCTAATGTAGCTTAATAAAAATACCATATTTTGGTAACTGCGGGGAAGGCTATTATTTTTGGTGAGCTTGGGAGTGGGTACTAGGAAGGAGAGATACACATAGAGAATATTTTAATTCCCCCTCCCCTCCCCAGGAATATCCTGAATATTTCTCATGCTGGACTAAGATCGTGGTCTGATGGCCTTCTGATATGCAGATAACTGTATTTTCAATATATATACTTCTGATTAAGGGCAGAGGACAGTTATCCAGAGAGTGAAGAATTACCAGGCCAGGAAGGTGAGCCAGTGTCGGGGTCACCTTTCCCCTGGGAGTATCTGCTGAGTCCAGAAGGCTGAGCACCCAGAAGGCTGGGTGTTATTTTGACAGCCCTGCAGAGCTGGGGCCCATCGCGCCTCCCGCCTCCCACTCATGTTGCGTTGGGGCTCCCAAGGCCTGCATCAGGAGTACTGGTAAACCTGAAGTAAACAGGTCCTCCTAGGGACTTCAGTTCAGAATCGAATGTCTCAGTGTATGAAGTCAGAATGAGGTGATCATAAATGGCTCATATACCCAGGGGCCTGGCAGAAGCAAATGGAAATAAGTTTTAAAAAATATGACATCATCCTAGGCTTAAAATTATTTGTACAATTTATTTTTCAAATATGATATCTGGAGCCAAATAAAAGTTAACCAGACATTATACAACACGAAAAGCAAACAAAACAACAACAGCAGCAAAATGGGAAATAAATAGAATAGGCACATAGGGGCTTCAGATATTGAAGTCATCAAAATAAACTTTAAAATGACTACAATTTTACTTTTTATGTTGAAGGATTTAAAAGAATTAGCCCTGGCTGGTTTGGCTCAGCAGTTAGAGCATCAGCCTGCAGTCTAGAGAGACTGGAGTTTGGTTCCCGCTGAGGGCACGTACCTCAGTTGCAGTTTGACCCCGGCCCTGGTTGGGTTGTGCGGGAGGCAGCCACTCGATGTGTACCTTTCACGTCGATGTTTCTCTCTCTCTCTCATCCTCTCTCTCCTTCCCATTCTATCTGAACAAAAAGTGGAAAAATATCCAAACCGGCCAGGGCAGATTTTTTTTTTTAATCCTCACCCGAGGATATTTTTCCATTTTTCTTCAGAGAGAGTGGGAAGGAGGGGGAGAGAGAGAAACATCAATGTGAGAGAGACACATGGACTGGTTGCCTCCCGCATGACCCCAACCAGGGCCATGGATGAACCGCAACCAAGGTTCATGCCCTTGACCGGAATCGAACTCTTGACTCATTGATCTGTGAGCTGGTGTTCTAACCGTTGAGCCAAACCAGCCAGGGCCTGACTTAGAATTTTATACTCAGTGAATGTATCTTTCAAAAATGAAAATGAAATAAAAATATTTTTAGACAAATGAAAGCTGAGATAATCTTTAGAGCAGATATTATTTAATGCTAATTAAAGAGTGTCTTTCAGGAAGTAGAAATATGACCCCAAATTGAAGACCAGAGATAAAAGAAGGAATGAAGAATAATCAAACTGGACAATCATGGGGACACATGCAAATTAATATTTACTATATGCAAAAACAATAATAATGTCTATATGAACTTAAGGTATACATAGAAAAACGATAACAATATATAAGTAAGGAAGAGAATAATTGGAGTTAAATTTTTTTAAATGTTGTTGATTAATCAAGATTACTAGTTGCAACTAGGCTAAACACTAAAATAAGGGCAACAGAATAGATAACTTCCAAGAAAGTAGCAGGGAAATGGGATTATAAAAATAATGAGGTAAGGAAAGGGTGGTCTTTTCATAAACAAACTTGGGCAAATGGATAGTCATATAAAAAATAAGACACCCAGAAACTTGACCCCAACATAAATATCAATTCCAGGCTGTACTCTAAATGTGAAAAGAGAAACCTCATGCTTCTAGAAGGTAATGTAGGAGAATGACTTCATGACCTCAAGACTTTCAACAAGACAAAAATAAAAATAACACTCCCCAAAAAGAAACATTTGGGTGTATTGAAATTATAAACTTCTTTCATTCAAAGGCATTATTAAGAGAGTGAGAAGGCCACATAATGGGAGAAGATATCTGCACCACATATAACCAAAGGAGGTTCATATCTAGATTTAAAGAATTCCTAGAATGAATATAAAGAAGAAACACTCCAATAGAAAAATGGACAAGGGGCTTGAACAGACATTGTACAAAAAAAGATACCCAAATGGCCAATAAGTAAATGGAAAGGCACTTGACAACATTAGTCATGAGAAACAAAGGAAATATTACCATGTTAGCCAAAATTAAAATTACAGATGATATCAAGTGTTGGTGAGGATTTGGAGCAATACAAACTCTCAGCCCCATAGGGTTGGTGAGAGTGTATGTTGGTGAAGGCACTTTGGAAAACCATTTGACATTATCTCCTACAATAAGATAAGTATACTCTACGATCTAGATATTCTATTCCCAGGTTTATACCTGACAGAAATGTGTGTGCTTGTGCACCAAGAGACATATATGAGAATATTCATGACAGAGTTATTTGTAATGGTTCCAAACTGTAGAAAATGCAAAATATCCATCAACAGTAGAATGAGTAAATAAATTGTCATGTTCATACCATGGGATATGATACATTAATAAAAATGAATGGACTACCACCAAATGGAATGACTCTAACAAACATAGTGTTGTGTAAAGGAAGCCAGATACAAAGGGAAATATTTTGTGTGATTTCATTTGTATAATGTTTAAAAACCAGGCAAAACTAAAATGCACAGTTTTGGATATAGGCATAGGTGATAAAACTACAGAAAAAAAGAAAAAGAAAAAGAAAGTACTTGCCATTAAATCAGGACAGTTATTTTTGGCAGGGGGCAGGGCCTGTAGTTATTGGGAGGAGGCATGAAGGGTATTTTTGTGGTGCAGGAGATTTTTATTTCTTTACCCTATTGGTAGTTACCTGGGGGATCTTTGTAATAAATGCTCAAGCATTTATGCTTTCGCTTCTTGCATGTTTCTATATGTGTGTTATAACTCACAGTTACAAACAAAGTAATGGGGCAAACCAACAAACAAAATGACCCACTACCATGCTGACAGCAGACAAGATACTGGTCCTAGATTTTTCACTGAGACTTTCTATGGTAGCTCCAATCCCTGTTTATAGCCCTGTTAATGCATTCAAAACTAGGAAATGCAAATATGTCTCACTTTTTGATGCTTATTTGACTTTGGGCGATTTCCAATTCCACAAAAATTTAAGTTTTATAGGCATTTGTTGTTACAAGTCAGCTTTGATTTAAAAATCTGACTTGAGGGAAGATCTTGAAAAACACACTTTGTGGGAGAGCTGAGCTTTATGGATCTGCAGAACATGGCGGACTGGTATTGTTTGTGGCCACCACCAACAAAGGCAGCCAGAACAGACGTTTTCCAAAAGCATTCTCTGAAATATTCATTACATTGAGTCCTCAGAGATCTTTTCGAGAGTTCTTTTAACTTACTGCAGTGAAAACAAAATGTAGGTTTCCTTACTTGTGTCCATTTACCACAAAATAAAGCCTATGTTGCAGTATCAAACTTCAGTGCTACTGCATTTTTTCAATACATACATCTATGTTATTTAAGTACTGATAATTGTACTTATAATTGTGGAAAGGTTTTGGCAGAAAGGCTAGAGTTCATGAGGGCTGCGTCTGGGCAGTGAGGGCCAGGTGTGCTATTGGAGTGGCCTCCTGTTGTGGCCTGGCATATGAGAGTACTCTGGCCATCTGAACTGCTATGGTAAATTCAAAACTAAATATATTTAACCGATAATGGTTGTTCTGCTGGCACTTTACTGGTCATCCCAGACCTTATAAGTGCAAATTTTATGTGCAGCTTCAGTACAATACATATTTGTTGCGGACCCATGAGGTGAGCTGGAAAATTCAGCCTCCGTGGACAGAATATATATGGAGAAAGACATAAAGACACACAGGATAGCCCCGGCCGGTTTGGCTCAGCGGTTAGAGCGTTGGCCTGCGGTCCTGAGAGACCCGGGTTCGGTTCCCGCTAAGGGCGCGTACCTCGGTTGCAGTGTGTCCCCGGCCCTGGTCGGTTGTGTTGGTGGCAGCCACTCGATGTGTTCCTTTCACATCGATGTTTCTCTCTCTCTCTCTGTTCCTCTCTCTCCCTCCCACTCTACCTGAACAAAAAATGGAAAAATGTCCTCCGGTGAGGATTAAAAAAAAAAAAAAAGACACACAGGATATAATATGTATGTGACTGTGGGTTGAAGGTCTCCCCTGTGCCAGGTACCATGCTCTGCTCAGCACCTTACATTCTCTGCTTGAATCCTCACAATGATCTTGAAAGATGGCCATTGCTTTTACTTTTCCAGAGAAGAGGAAGCTGAAGGTCAGAGAAGTTAATTTACATCCCCAAGACCACGGGACTAAGTGACAATGACCATGGAAAAGCAAAATACAGCTTCGCCCCCAGGTATAGGCAATACCTGTTCTTTGGCTTGTACGACTCTGTTTAAGCTCTACATTTGCTTTTATAGACTCAGTCCACCTGTGTATAAATAAGGGTATGAGCTTTACTCTTCAAAACGCAAGTAAAGGGTAAATCTGCTCTACCACAGAGTGGGGGAATGATTTGTCCCCAACTAGCACAGAAAAGAAACGTGTCCCAGGCCAGAGTCAAAGAGAGAGTTGTGTTTATAGAGCGTCAGGGCCCCCTCTCTGGTGGTGTTTTCCTTTGAGACGCGGGCACAGGGGAACTTCAGAGGGCCAGCTGGGTGGGGAGCTCCGCGGGCGGCCTACCTTCTGATTGATTTTCATCGTCTCCTCCGTGTGGTAGAGAAGGAGCTTTTCCCCCGAAGAAGTCAGGTTCACGTACACCTGCAGGCAGGGGTACTGAGAGAGTTTCCAGCAGTCTGGGCCGCAGCTGAAGGAGCAATTAAATGTTTCCGTGATGGACGCGTTGAGCAAGGTGCACTGAGACTCCTCGGTCCACACGCTGCAGACGGTGAAGGAAACACAGGTCCAAAGAGCCAACAGCAGGAAGCCACACTTAGAGGGGATCATTTGTCCTTAGCCTAAGAATCTCTTCCAAATCTATAACACAACCTAAAGTTTATACCTTTGACTAGGGCAGCTTCAGGCAAACCGTAAGACAAACGCAGATAACTTCACCTGGCACCTGAGGACTCTTTCAATGACAGCCATTGGTCATAGGATACTATTTTCCAATGCTTGAATAAGTTATTTTTTTCCTACCTCAATTCACTGATAAGCGTAAAACATCTTATTATACCACCACCTGCACTCAGCTGTATTTCTACCTGTAAGCAGCTGTCTGCCACGCCTGTCCTCACCTCTGCAATGCCTGCCGGTTTGTAGCACAGAAGGTATAAGGGAGAAGAGGAGGGGAGATGACAAAGGGGTGGAGGGGCTTGAGGTCCAGCTTGGCAGGTGGAGGGATAAGAATATATTTCTGCCCTGGCCGGTTTGGCTCAGCGGTTAGAGCGTTGGCCTGCGGTCCGGAGAGACCTGGGTTCAGTTCCCGCTAAGGGCACATACTTCGGTTGCAGTTTGTTCCCGGCCTTGGTTGGTCGTGCGGGTGGCAGCCACTTGATGTGTCCCTTCACATCAATGTTTCTCTCTCTCTCTTCCTCTCTCTCCCTCCCACTCTATCTGTACAAAAAATGGAAAAATATCCTTGGGTGAGGATAAAAAAAAAAAAGAATATATTTCTTAAGGTCTTTCGAATAAGGGAAAAAAGATAGCTCCACCCTTTGATCACACCAAGAGCAACCACTTGGGTATCCTGCTTCACCCCAACTGGTGCTTTATATACATTATTCTCTCTTCTTCTCCCAGTTCCCCTATATGTTGGGTATTAATTCCCTTTAAAGGTGAGTGAACTGAGGGTCGGAGAAATCAAGTAACATAGGGACACACAGCTCGTAAGTGATGGAAGCTGTGATTTACCCAACCCCAATTGCTCCAAGGCCCAGGCTGGTTCCACGGTGCCGTGCTGCCTCCCACGCGCAGGACATAATATATGCTGACTACTGGCTTCATGTCCATGCCCTGGGACCTCTCAGAAAGAAAGAAAAAAACCACTTCCAGCTGCTCACTGGCCAGCTTTTCATTCTAAAATATTTATAATTCTATGATCAAAGGTAACATTGTGACTAGGAAGGAACACACCAGCATTCAAGAGTTTACTTCTGGGCATAAGCCGATTAGCAGAGTGAACAGAAGGCGGCATGTTTTCTTTGCAGATTCGTACCCCTTCTCTCGGCTCAGCACGCCTTGGCGGGCCCAGCTTTTCATGCTCAGGTTTATGCCAGTGGCAGCATAGTAGCCCGGCCCCCTCTGGTGTGGCAAATTGTATTTTCCTAGGACATGAATGGTCGGGGTTTGCTTATCCAAGGAAGAAAAAGTCTTAGATGGTTCTAAGCAGGACTGAGGATCTGAAGGAGGTTTCGAAACCAGAGACCGTCGAGGCCTGAGGCATCAGCACCTTCCCTGGGAGGGAGACAGCTGAAGGCGCCCAGGAAACAGAGCAGAGCGGCCACAACGGGGACGGCGGTGCCTTAGTTTTCGAGAATTTGCTCTATTTCCGCTAGAGTTTGCTTCTAAGTGAAAGTATTAATTTAGGTGGAGAACTGAATGCCACAAAATGGCTTAATTCTTTTTTGGAGCGAAGCCTCCATCTTTCACTTTAAAGGCTCCCACCTCTTGAAGCTGAACCACCGTCTTTCCCTGTTCGAGCCACGCTGAGTTCTCCTGTGCTCAGCTGTCCAACTTACGGGCAGTTAGCTGGAGATGCTCTGGCTTCCTCGGGGGGAACACGGGGGAAATCTCAGGATTCAATTCCCTGCCTGTCTAGTCAGTAAGCCACGGGAAATATGAAAATGAAAAGAGTTCAAAATCTGTAATTTTTTTCAAGTTGCTGCATAGCCGTGTTTCTCAGCCTTGATAGCATATTAGAATCTTCTGGGGAAATGTAAAAGATACTGATGACTGGTTCCCACTCCAGACCAACTAAATCTGACCTCTGGGATGATGGTGGTGGGGAATGAGCACCAGTATTTAGCAAAGCTTCTCAGGAAGTTTCAATGTACAGCTGAGAACCACTGACGTGTGGGGTGATGGAGGGCTGGGGTGGGGTGGAAAGGAAGGAGGGTGGAGAATGAACAGGGGGGGTGAAGAGGCAGGAACAGAGTCCCTGGAATTAGTGGGATGTGGGTTTGCATCTTGGCTCTGCCATATGCTAGAGCTGTGTGACACTGGGCAAAGTCTTTCTACCTTGAGCTTCAGTTTTGCCATTTTTATAATGAGTATATTCATCCTTACCTTGTAAAATAGTTATGAGAATTAAACAAGTAGTGTATGGCAAGTCCCTGGCACATAGTAGGCAGTTTACACATAGAGCTCTTTTAGCATTAATATTAAATAACATTACTGAAAAATAGTATGTGCCAGGCACTGCTCGAAGTTCTTATTAAGAAAGAAGGAGAGGAAGAGGACCTGAGGTTGATAATCTCCGGGGAGGAGGGAGATGGAGAGACAAAGGCAGTGTCCCAGCCAGCCGGCGGTCTTACCTCTGCATGTAAGAGCGCAGGAGTGTGATTCCCAGCAGAAAGTACATCATGATGGAGCACACCATCATGGTCAGTCCCAGGAGAATGGCCCGGTCCTCTCCTGCTTTCAGTGCTGTGACAGTTTTTCTTTTGTCCAAGAGGTCATGGTCCCTGATTTTTTGGTAAATGTTTCTGAGGTTGAAAATAATAGAGTGTTATATGAGATTCACAGTTAATCATCACATCCCCAGAGACAGGATAAGTCACTGTCCATGCTTTCCTGGGGCAGGGAGACCGAGAGGAGTCCCCTCCAAACCTGCCTGAGTGCAGTTAGATCCCAGCCTGTGCCCATTGCCTCCCGCCACACACACACACACACACACACACACACACCCAACGCTGAGCAGAAACAAGTGGCCCAAACCCTCTTCTCTTTTCTCATGGAACAACTGTATTATTTGATGACCTGCTGATAAAATATAGACAATTTGATTAAAAAAAACCAATCTCAGGAACATATTCAAAACAACAATAAAAATTACCCTGAGGTTTTAAAAATATAAATTATTATAATTTATAACAGGAATTCTTCCTTAAAAAAAACCAAAAAAAAACCAAGTCTTTCTTCTGTACTTGGGGCCCATGTTTACCTGAAAATATTTATTTCTTCTCTCCGAATCTAAAGAAACACTCCTCGCAGCCCTTAACATAATGCTTTGAGTTTGTTCCTTTTTCCACTTAACCCCCAGCTGATCATCACTGATCTTTTTATACTCTCTGAATACATAATGGAACATTAATTCAAATAAACGGTAACATACATTGGGAACCTGTCAACTCAACACCTTATTTCCTTTTAGTGGTAATAGACAGAAGTTATTTTGCTTAATGTTTTCCTCAAGCACAGGGTCGCTTAGGGCTCTGTTGAGACGGGAGTGGTGGCTCAGCCTTCTTTTCTTTTATGTGTAAACGCTTGAGTAAGTTTAGAAAAATGTTAAACCAAGGCAAGGCTCTATAACTTTGGATAGTTGTTGTTATTATTTTTGTCATTTATTTTACAGCAGCAACACTGTGTATGAAAGAACATGAGATTGGAGTCAAATGATGTCCGGAGTTCGAAATTTGATTTCACGGCGTACTAGCTGTGTGATCAATGACAGGTCCCTCACCCTCTCTGATTCTCAGGTTCCTGCAAAATGGAAATGATATGCCCACTGCATTGTAATGATTAAATGAGATGCATAAGTAAAATTTCCAGGAGAATAACTGACATAAGGTATTTAATAAATGTTCCCATTGGAAAATGGGGTGAGAGCTTTGGCTCTATGACATGAGCCTCAGAACATCCTAAAATTACTATTCTCTAAAGAACCTTCAAAGGGAAGAATGGCAAAAATAAATAATGTAAAAAACTCATGAGTAGAAGACTGGATCTGAAACAAGATCTGGAGGAAAAGGCAGGAAAGAAACAAATTGCTGGGGATACTGGATGCTTGGAGAGAGACGTGAGGATAGGAAGGGAGGCAGGTGACCAGGGAGCAGCATGGGATCGCGTTTAGTTTCTATTTTGAGAAGGGAGGCTGAATTGAAGGAGCGGGAGTTGCTGATCTTCAGGGCCTGGGAAGGGAGAGAAGGACAAATAGAAGGCTAAAAATGGAGAAAGAAACTCTTACGTCTTTTTTTTTTTATCTTCAGGCAATAAAACAATATACACAAAAATAACTTCAGATTTTTTAAAACATTTTTATCACTAGTCATTCTTGTTGCTTAAAAAAGAAACCAGAGTAGATTCAGTATGGAACTTGGCAGGGGAGGGAAGATATGTCTGGTATTCATGAAGTTGTGTGTATATTCAAATGTGTGAATATTCATTTAATGTTGTGCTCCAGAATAGGCTTACTGATGTTTATGGCAGGCATCTGTTCTGATTAGCTGGTACATTTTGGGCTGGCTGTTAAATATTTTGATTCCTGATAGAGATATGAATATATTTCCAAAAGGTTTTAGGGTATCCTATTTATTAATCTGGTTATTAGATATGAAATTAACCAATGAGCTTGCTACTATTCTTATTTTTTAATCCTTACCAGAGGATATTTTTCCATTTATCCTCATATAGAGTAGGAGGGAGGGAGAGAGAGAGAGAGAGAGAGAGAGAGAGAGAGAGAGAGAGAGAGAAACACTGATGCGAGAGAGATACATTGATTGGTTGCCTCCCACGCGACCTGACCAGGGCCAGGGACTGAAGTGCAACCGAGGTATGTGCCCTTGACCGGAATCAAACTCACAATTCTTTGGTCTGTGAGCTGACACTCTAACCGCTGAACCAAATTGGCCAGGGCTAGCTTACTCTTATTTTAACATTCTCTTTAAGAGATCTTTTATACAAACCTTACTGTTTCCTGGAGGAATGGGCCCATAGGAGAGGAGAATCAGAGAGAGGCCTTTGTTCCTCATCTTTTCATGGCTACATCCTTCCTGGCTGCCTCCCCCTCACTCTGGCTGTTCATTATCCTCTTTGCTAGAAGCACCGAGAGACGGTCCCCTTCATTATTCTCAGGTTCCCAAGCCCACTGCCCCCGGACAAGCTGGCCACCTCCCACTCTCCAAGATTCCCCATTGTTTTCTGAGATTTTCTTTGGAAAATGTAGGGTTTATATCAAAGTTCTTGAAACTTGACCCTTTATGAACTGGAATGAAAAAAAAAAGAAAAAGAAAAAGAAAATCAGTGCCCACAGCAGCTAAAGCCCTTGAGCAGGCAGACTTCTGAAACAAGGACAGGCTGAATCTGACTTCAAAGACCTGCTGTGAAATAATAATCTGATGTCCCTTTGCGATTATTGTTTATCAAAGTGTATTTAATTCTGATGGCTGCCACTGAGACTTGCATTTTCTGCAGATGGCAGCCAGCAAGGAGGGCGCGGCGATCCCCCAGTTCCAGTGTTGGGCTGTCACACGGCATCACTTATGTCAGTTTATGCCCACAACACAATGAAGTGCAATCAGTCAGGAATGTCACCAGAACAAGAGCATATAAAAATGATTCAAATGCGTAATTTACAAGTCACAATTTGAAAATGGCTAACAAATGCTCTTCATATGCTCTGGAATGGGTTGCAAAGCGAGAAAATGATTGGTTTCCACACAGGCCAAATACATCTGGGAAATTGGGGTATTACTCAGCTCAGCAAAAGTGGGTGAGTGGGGGTGAAATTCATAAAATTCATCAACAAGTTATTATTAAAGAAATGAATAAATCGAGGAATGAATGAATGACTTGAGAACACAAAGAGTTCAGTTTAAACCCACAAATTTATCTCGAGGGCTGGTAACCTCTAGATATTGGGGATATGGCCCCTAACCAGTAGGAAGACAGACAAGGAAAATAAATTAACATAGGGTAGTGAATTCAATGATGGAACTATTCACAGGGTAAGTACAGAAGAGGAGTCATTTCCCCAGCCTGAGGGACAAGTACTGAGGTTATGGAAGCTCCCTGAGGAGTAATGGCTTCAACAGAATCTTCAGCATTGAATCAGAGTTAACCAATGAGACAGGGAGCCAAGAGTACTTTAGGAAGAAGGAATTATATGAACAAAGGGATGAAGATTTGCAGCTGCATGATGACTGTCAGAAACTACAAGCATTTTCATATTACTGGGATGAGAAAACGGGGCAGGTGACTTTGAATAGGTAGTAGGTCATGAGGGGTTTGTATCTATTCTGTGAATCTACTTAGAAGAGGGTTTGGGAGACGTAAGGGAATGAAGGCCAGAATAGTTCACTAAAGTTGAGATCTCAGGAGGAAGAATGAGTCTGGGGCATGACTACAAATTCAGTTTTGAATATGGGGGCTGTCCAACAATAAGTATAAGGCAGGAAATTGGATTTATAAGCATGAAGCAGGTCTAGCCTTGGCATGTGCTGGCAAAGTAGTATGTTTAAGCTCTGATGGGGCAGTCTTGGCTTCATGGATCTTGGGGAAGCATGAATCAGTATGGTGGATACAAACCAACATTTACCCATGTTGACAATAATAGTAGATATGTATAGTCTTTTCTACATATATAGGGAACATTTCGCCCAAATCCTTTTGGAGCATATGGGGATATATAGTGAAGAAGACATGTCCTGAGGGAGCTGGGTGAGATACCAGTGATTACGTGGACTGCAATGAGACTGGTTAGAGAGGAGTATAGGAGAGAGCAGGTCAATATGTTGGGGGTCGATCTGCCAAAGGATCAGTTATTGAATGGCTAATTCACCAAAATGAGTCGATTCACCAATTTATTGAAGGATCTCTTTGCTAAATGAATAATTTGTTTACCTTGTCACATTTACAGATTTAATAAAGACTTATTTTAAGGAGTATTGTTTTAATTATAGTAAATTAATGCTAGCACATTTTTCTTATAAATATTTTAAATCTGTATTTTAAAAATACATTCAATTATAAAGTATATTCTTATGAATATATTTTTTCAGCAATATTTTAAGATGTTTGATTTTTTTTAAAAGCTAAGTTTCCTAGGGTTTTTATTCATGAACCTAATATTATTAATTGTTGAGGAAGACTTGTAGTATTATTTTATGGATAAGAGACTATGGGTGAGACCAAAATTATGGAAACAAAAATAGGAGTTAATTCTTTTTAGTCTTGTCTTAGGCTTACCAGATCACACAATTTCCCAATGATATCTTGATTTCTATTTCTTATTTATTTTTACCTAATCTATTAGCATATTAAATTTCACAATGGTCTTTAGTGAAAAATAGAAAATAAATCAGAAAATTATATGAATTATTCACATACGTCAGGCTATCCTTATAATCTAAAGAAGCTTTGAGGAGTACCACCTGTGTGTATGTATATATGTACATATATGTATATAAATATATATACATATATATACATATATACATATATATGTATATATATTTTTTATCCTCACCCGAGGACATTTTTTTATTTTTTGTTCAGATAGAGTGGGAGGGAGAGAGAGAGAGAAACATTGACGTGAAAGGGACACATCGAGTGGTTGCCACCCGCATGACCAACCAGGGCTGGGGACAAACTGTAACCGAGGTACGTGCCCTTAGCGGGAACCGAACCCGCGTCTCTCTGGACCGCAGGCTGACACTCTAACCTCTAAGCCAAACCGGCCAGGGCACCACCTTTATATTGACCACAT